TATATATTTTAACACTTAACAGAGCTACTAACTACTGATTTACCGTGTTATAACCGATCATTGATGTTGTACATCAATTTTTAATGCCTTGCTAACTTAAATGTTTGGTTTTGTGTGGTGTAGAGCAGGCTACAGTAACGTTACATTGATTTGTAAATTCTGCTTATTTATGAGCATGGTTTTGATATATTTGTAAAACAATATGACACTGAAAGCATCAATAAGAGGATTTTGAGAGCCCTGTATGCCGTTTTGTAGAATTTCCAACATGTTGCCAATTTCATGATGGACCCTCGACAGGCTAGAATATATATATATATATATGAAGAGTTCAGATGCAAAAGCCTCTAAGTGTCATTTGAAATTTTATTCTAAAATGATCATTTTTATCAAGCTTGTATATTTAAGTTCAGTAATTTCACTTAAATGGCAATGAAGATTACCTATGAATTGTCATTTAAGTGAAATTACTGAACTTAAATATACGAGCTTGATAAAAATGATCATTCTAGAAGAAAATTTCAAATGGCACTTAGAGGCTTTTGCATCTGAACTCTTCATATATATATATATTCTAGAAAAAAAAAAATTAATATGGTGGTAATGCCATGAATTGTAAAAACAAAACAAACATAAAAACAGCCAAAAACAAAATTCGGGGATCAACAAACAAAAATTGTTGATCCCCGAATAATACTGTTTACGAGCAAAACTGTTTTATTTGTTTATAAATTCACTATAACTCAAACTAAGTTATTTTTTATTAAAACTATAACCGGTATCTTTTTTGTATGTCATCTCTGCTCTAGTGTTTAATCTTTTTTTTTACATGACATTAATTGCATAGTGTATAGTTGACTCAATGTCAAGTTGCTAGTTTTGTTTCTCATTTGTAAGTTGCTTTGGATGAAAGTGTCTGTTAAATCTATAGATGTTCTGTCATCATGGCATCCTATAGCTTCACCTCTTCTTTTTTTCTGCAGCAATATAATTAATGCAGACATGGCACAGAACGAAGAGATGCAAGATGACGACCTTGGGATATCCGGGGAAACATTGATTGAGTTCATTAAGAGCAGCAAGGCAGAGAACGTACTTCGAGGAGCAAGAGAAAAACTGCAGGAGTTCTTTGACCACCACATCAAGACCAAGAAGACTACAACCGAGATCTTAAATGGTATAACTTCAGTAGTAATATTAACTTTTAACCTGCTAATCAATATTAACTATTAAATGATGCAACTAGCATTAAAAAGCATTTATTATAGCCACTCGACCATGTTTGTCTCACATGTCCCAATCATGTTGCATATTTATTTTCCACAAGTGACATCCAGTTATCAGAAATAAATAATTTTGTGTTTTTAAAGTCACCATGAAATCAGATGACTGTACGTGAGATCGACCAATAGCTATAACTATAACCATCCAATCAATTCCCCATGGACAAAATCAAGTCCCATCTGACATTTTTGTTTTGTTCCAGGAGCCGTTTCACTCGTATTTATGTAACAATAAGGTGGAAAAATGTGCTGACTTTAATCTAGTTTAGATCAAATCAATAATAAATCAAGCAAAAGATGATAAAAGTCATGCTGCTAATATTACACCTCACTAGAAGGTTTAGGAATGTTGCATTGTGGGATACTGTATTGGGCAATTGAACATTTTGGCAAATGTAGGCATTCATCGTGTTTTTAAATGCGCACTAAATATTTGGATATTAAAAAAATGTTGAACTTGAAACGTTTCTCTCTGTCTTTAAGATCTTGTGCATGCAGAGGAAGTGGTCAGCAACAAGCTTCTGGATTTAGAGCGGCAGAAGAGTCAGATGGTGCAGGAGATCGAGAGGATAGAGCAGGAAGTGCAGCGGAGTCTGCCCAAAAGCCAAATCCTGGACTCGGAGCAGGAGTATCCTTCCCAAGACCTGAACCAGAACCTGCTCTTAGTATAACCTCTGGCCATATTTATTTACATTACTGTAGATGTCAGGTGACCAAGAAACATTGTACATTTGATGCACACAGACTTTCTGGTTGCTGAATGTGTAATTCTAGCGCATCACCAAACACATGCTTTAACTATGTGTTTTTAGATCAATTCTAATTCGTTTGCTCAAGTTGTTTCAAACCATATCAGTTTCTTTCTTCTGCTGAACAAAATACGATATTTGAATGGACCCCATTGGCTTCCATATTATTATTATTTTCCATACTTTGGAAGTCAAAGGGGCCCTGGGTTATTTGGTGACCCATATTTTTTTAAAAATATCTTCTTTTCTGTTTAACAGAAAATTAATCTTAATACAGGTTTGGAACAACTTGAGGGTGAGTGAATGATGACAGATTAATTTTGGGGCTATCTATCCCTTTAATAAAGCATGAGTGTTGTTTCAGTTACTTTTCGATCATGCACATTGTTGTTTGTTTGTTTGTTCGCTGTGGTTTTTCCCCTTAACTGGTGGATCAGATTCTTACAGAAAGAGTTGGAAAAACTAAGAGATGCAGAGCAAGAAATTCAAACCCTGCAACAGGAAGTGGACGAGGACACAACTGAGGTCATTCCTTCAGCTATGTAAGAACTGGACTGGCTTTAGTTCACCTTGTGAGAGTGTATCTCTCAATAGTTGGGACAAAAAGGGTAATCGTCTTAAAGATGTGTGTTTATAATGACAAAGGACTAGATAGTATGTCCTCAACCTGCTGAAATTTTCCAGTTCTCTACCCTTCAAAAGTTTGGGGTCGGTAAGTTTTCTAATGTTTACAGACGCTGCTTTGATTCGACCAAAAATACGGTAAAAATAATAATTACTATTACTATTTAAAATAACTACTTTCTGTTTTAAAATCTGAGTTTTCAGCACCATTACTCCAGTCTTCTGTGTCACATGATCCTTCAGAAAGCAGTCTAGTATGATTTGATACTAAATAACTCACAACTTCCATTTCATGACGATTTTAATATTCTCAGAAAAGTCAGACATTTTGCAATCTTCAGCAATCTTTTTTATTATTTTATCAAGACACGAACAAATGCAGAAGTCATTGGTCCGATTGTGTGGTAGCCCTACAGTGATATGGTGAAGTCTGTGTTGCCAGACTGCTTTGAAATCATGTCGACTAAAAACATTCAGTTTTTTTTTTGTTTTGTTTTTTTCATTTGATTTAGATATATCGCTCAGCTCTATAATAAAGTAACCAAGATAAAGCTGGAGGTGGACCCAGACCCGCACATACTCAGGGGAGGTAATCCTGACACATTTAATAAATATGCGGATGATGAACATAGTAGCTTTATATTCAAGACTAATCCCTTTTGTCTCTTGGCAGTTCACTACGGTGCGGACGTGGCAACCCCGATCAACATAGACACGTCCACCCGTACCCCCTGTGAGGTCAGTGATGACCTGTGGAGCCTGGTCAATACTGAATGGTAGACCTGGTGCACATGAACCGTGTTTGCTAATTTAGTGTTTGTTTTTATGTGTGTGTAACTTTATATATGTGTGTCTATAGATATGTCTTTTAAGTCTGATAATAAATTGGCCTCAATCGCTACCTTTTGCGTCACACACCACAAGATGTCACTATGCATTCACAAATTACCACCCACAGACTGAAAAAGCTCTTTTCGCATGCCCAGAGTGGCAGTTTATGATTTTTTTTTTATTCATCCCTTGTTATATGGATATCCTGCTAATTGCATAGACCAGAGTATGTGATCCTTTATGTTGCACCGCACTGGTGTAAACATTACACCGAAAAGTATTAAGAAGAAGAAACGCAAAATTGACACAAAATAATTGTCAAGGACATGCAACATGTTTAAAAACACAGGTGTAGATGGGTTGTATATGGCATTAACATGAGAGGGAGGTATTTTTAGTTTCTCTCGGTGTGAATAGGCATTTTGTTTGTGATTCAGACTGAAAAAGTTTAAACACTCCTTAAAAAGTATTTTTATTGCACATTGTTGTAGATAATTATTTTTTTTTTAAAAAAGATTAGTCATTTTATAAAGCTCCTGCTTAAATATAATTTAAATATTTTAATATATATTTTTTAATATATAATGTTTGAGAATGTAGGATATAGCATCTATTCAGAGAAGGTTTCATTTTCATCCAAAATGATTTTATATAGTATTGCAGAGCTTTGTGCAAGTAATTTTTCCCCCCTCATCTTTACTTTACCTTCACTATACTACTTTCACTCTATTGAAATATCATTTTGGGGTATTTAATTTCTGTCAGTGCCTATGGATGGGTATTCTTTCAAAAGCCTAGCCGCCCTACTTTGTTTGTGTGAGTAATTGAACCTTTACTTGTCTAACTTCGAAAATGAGTCAAACTCAACCCTTGAGTTGCAGAGATGAGCCTTTTCAGCTTCAGTAAACATCCGGACTGGCACGAGCTTATGGCCTTTTTTCTGTAGGGGTTTTCTGCAAAGAGAACATTTGGTGTGTGGCTCATGCCTTGTGAAAAGACAAAACCTCAATATAGTTTAGTTTATGCTTGGTTAACATGTGGTGTGGGTGTGATTGTAGCCAACTGGAAATCAGCTCGAGTCACTTTGAGAAACTTTTATCATTGCATTTGAGCAGCATTTTTGTATTCACATACACCTACTTATCTATATTTTGTCACACTTTAGTTTTATTCTTCATGGGAAACAATAAATGGTTACACTTTATTTCGATAGTCACTTTAGACGTTCTACTAATTGTGAGTAACTTTTCAACTACGTGTCAACTAACTCTCATTAGAGTATTAGTATATTATAGTAGACTGTTAGGTTATGGTTAGGTGTTAGGCTTTGGGTTAGGAGAATAAGTTTACTTGTAGTCGCCAAGTTACTTATAGTCAGTTGAATGTCTGTTGGGGGACCAACAAAATAAAGTGTTACCTAATAAAATATTTAGAAGTAAATTCAAATCTATGTAGTGCAAGTCACATTTGTGTAAATATGTTTCATCACTAAACAAAAGACAAATCACAAACATTCAAGAAAACACTAAGCTTTTAATTAATGCACTTATAAAAGATTTTTTAAGGCTCATAATTTAGAATCAAGAAAAAAAAATACATTTATACATACTAATGCGTCGTTTTCCGTAAACAGACAAGTTTTTACAGAAATGCAATATTGCTTGAATGTCAGTGCTGTTTGTATCACTGCAGAGTCCGACTGCTACACATTAATGTTGGCATTCCTAACACTAACATACAAAACATTGATACAATATTTATAAAATATTCAATATTCATATAGCTTGTTCCAATTTACTGTATAGGAAAATATAGACAAGTATAGCACACTGGTTAAAGAGAGCTTTGACATGAAAACAGAAACGGTTCAGTGGGCTTCAGTATAGAACAATAGGGATCTTGACTTAATTTTAAAGAAACATTTATGACAAAAAAGGTTCTAAATAAGGAGAAAACAATTGTTTAAAGGGATGTTTCACTATTTCTACTAATGAAGTCTGCTTGAGCTGTTAAATTCATAAAATTTAACTTAAAAATTAATTTAAGTACAAAAGTAATTCAAATGATCCCATGATAAGAACTCCTAAAAGGTTCTATATATGAAGCGCCCGACAGAACCTTTTTAGGTTCTATATAGAACCTTTTCTTCTAAAAGTGTATTTCCCAAAAAATAAGATTGTAAGAGGAAACATGACCTTACAGATTAAAAATAGTCACATGCCTTGCAGTTTTTATTTGTGTGGATATGTATTCGTAAAGTTCCAGAGGACTAACGTCCTCGTGTGTGGAGGCATCAACCTGTCATTTTCTTTGCGTCTTTTCACCACAGTCTCTGAACATTTGAACATGACTCGTTACCCAAGCTCATTATTTCTGTAATGGCACATACGAGACTTGTATAACATCACAAGAGTTCTTTTCAAAGGATTTTTGTGTTTTTGCTCAGTTCGCTGTATAACTCTTTGTAATTTGCTGTTTAAAATCCTATTTTGAACAACAGACCGACCGTAGCTCTTGTCGTGCAGAGCGTCCATTTTAAACATTGGTATTTGTCACAGTAAGACAATTCCACTTGTCACGCATGTTTTGCTTTAATGCATGTGAAGGAAACCAAGTCTCAAAATTACATTCTTGAGTTCCATCTCTCCAACTTCTCCTGCTTTCATTTCTAAGCACCTCGGACTTGATTACTAGGCAGCTTTATAAATATTCAAACAGAACAAGAAGTTCCTCAGCTCTTTAATATCCTGGGGTAGATGGCTTTAATAGTGGATGGTGTGATGTTCCCAGAGGAGACCGTCGTCTCCAGGCCCTCAAGTCTGTGTGACGGCACCTCTGCCTTACTGGTGCTACAGTCCAGGAAAGGCAAGCCGAATTTCTTCACTTGTCCGTCTTTTGTTAGCAGACAGTAGCTGCAGACAAGTCTCAGAATGGCTCTCCGCATGTCTTTACTAGTTAGGGTGTAAATGATGGGGTTTAGAAGCGAGTTGATCATGGCAATGCCCAGAAAGTAGTCCGCCTTGAGCAGCACCTCGCATTGTTGAGCGGGGCAGCAGAAGTCCAGCAGAAGGAGCACAAAGAGCGGCAGCCAACAGGCGATGAAGACGCCGAGGACGATGGTGACCGTCTTCAGCAGAGCCAGATACTTCTGGGACTTCCTCGCTATGCCTTTGCGCTGAGGAGCGCAACCCAAGCGCTGGGTGTTGGACTTCACTATGCGGAAGATGCGCACGTAGAGCACCACGATGGCCAGCAGCACTAGGGTAAACACGGTGATGCAGAAGAGGATGAAGCTCTTGGCGTAAAGAGGCAGGATGGTGGAGCATTCGTCCAGGTTTCCTATGCAATTCCAGCCCGTGATGGGAAGAATGCCGAGGAGCACTGACAGGACCCAACTTGCACCAATCAAACCGAACATTCGGCCACGCTTGGCCCCTTGATACGGCTTCATCCGGACCATCGTGACATGTCGCTCGATAGCTATAGCCAGGAGACTGATGACAGACGCAGAAAGAGTGATAAACACACCGCCTTCTCTAAGAAACCACAGTACTGGAGTCATTTTGAGAGTGTTTGCCCCCGAAGTTATGATGTTCACCATGTAGGTGAAGCCTGCTAGCAAGTCAGACAGCGTTAAGTTGCCCAGCAAGTAGTACATGGGCATGTGGAATTTTTTGTTCTTCCATATTGCCACCAGAACGATGGCATTTTCCACCACAATGAGAAGACAAATGATGAGAAACGCAATGGCCTCGGGTTTCAGTCCATCCTGGTATTTGCTCCCTTTCAGCTTTCCCGTGAAGTTGTAATGGGCCACGATGACGTCGTTGCTCTGATACTCCCGAAACCTTCGGAACAGGTAACCTGGAGACGGGGTCATCGGCGGCAGAGTCGGAGCAACGGCAGCGCTGGCTGCGTATGAAGCTTCCATTCTTCCTACTTCTTTTGCTGTCCTTAAAAACGTTCCTTAAGGATCTCTGTTAAGCATGTAGTCCCTCTTATTGCCATATTCCATCGAAGCACATAAAACAACTCTCAGGAGGGTTTAACATAGCCGTAATATTTCCTGAAAGTGTGGCAGGCTCATTTGTGTTGAAATATTCACTTCTTTTACTTTGTGATGGTCAAATCACAGCTTTGCTATATCTTCCAAGGCCACCAGAGGGAACTAAAATAAAGCATTAGAAAATAATGTTAAATCATTATGACATTAGAAAATAAAAATAAATGTGGTAAACATATTTTAACAGTCGCAGATAAAACAATGCAGATAAACCGAATATTTTGCATTTATTGTATTTCACATTTTTATGATCCTTTCATGGCCAATACTTTATTTCAGTGTAGACAGTAGATACGTTTTTTTAACTAAATGAATGTATTAGGAGTCTAGAATTATTTTATTTTTTAATAATAAAGTAAATTGTATGTATCACGGTAATGTGTGATCGGAGTAGACGGATAAAATCGTGATTTGTACAGTACAACTACTGCTTTACAACTATCGCTAAACTAATACAGTGGCAAAGTATTGTCTGCATACATGTCTATTGTATTGTTGCAAGTAGAGACTTTGCCAGTAAATATGTTTTAATATTACTACAGCCTACCAAGCTTTTTGTTAAATTGATTTTTTTTACAGATAAATACATAAACATCATTTTAATATTTTACAGTAGAATTTTGGGTTAAAACACATTTCTAAAACATTTTCTCCATATTTTCTGTGCATTTACAAGTTAATCGTTAATAATATGGCATGCAAACCTATCAAAGTATTAACAGGTTTACCGTAGCATTTTTCCACCGTTAGAATTATGAACATTTTTACACAGCAATCAAACGACCGCACATGTTCTGCGGAATAATCGCAATACTATTCCGCGTATTGACCTCGTTTACGCAATCGTACACAGAAGCTTCCCTCTAAATTATTATAAATAGCCCATAACTGCAGTTTTATAAACTGGCTAAACTTTAAGCCACAGTTCTGTGACCGCACGCAAAGTCCGCATCCATGCAAAACCATGCACGCGAGTTAATCACATTCAACTCCGTTCTCCTGAACTTACTTTAATAGTCTCGCCAATCTATGTTCACATGTAACCTCGCGTATTCGTGTAAATAAACGTAGCCTACCTTTTGTGTTCGTTGCTGTGTCTGTAAGTGACAAATCCTCCTGTGCTCCTCTATCTCTCCCCCATGTCCTGCGCACCTCTGACAAGGCTGATGTGGGAGCTGAAGCTTGGAGCAAGACTTGTCTTGCAGTGGGCTGGTCTTGGCATTCAACTCCTCTCTTCTTCTGGCCGCTGGGCTGCTGATGCAGCACTTATCATGGGTAATGAACTGCTCTGCTAACCTGGAGGTACTTTGACATTATAAATGAGTCAATGACGTGACGCTTTTGTCTAGATCTTTATATAATACACAATTCACTTTTTGTGAATTAAAAGCATTCACTTATACTTTGGTTTGGCTTTATAAATGTTATGCAGAAAGAAATATTGAAAAGAATGATTCAAGAATTAAGTACATTACTTTTACTTTTTACTTGGAGATGATTTTATATATATAGTGCACATCTAAAATGTTTAGTTAGTTTAAATTACAAATGTGATTTAATACAATGGAGGACAATAAATAAATGAAATGATTATTTTATTTATAGAGACGCAAAATCTGAACCACATTAAGTTGATTTGACAAAAGTCGGTGTAAGTCATGAATATAATTGTTAACTATATACACTAAAAAATGCTGGGTTGTTTCAACCCAAATTTGGGTCAAATATGGACAAACCCAAAGATTGGGTTAAAAATATAATTTAAAAAATTTACAGTTGAAAATGAAAGTTGAAGTTGGGTTAAAATTTTAAATTACATTTAACCCAACATTTGGGTTTGTCCATATTTGACCCATATTTGGGTTAAAACAACCCAGCATTGTTTAGAGTGTGTGTGTGTGTTGTGTGTGTGTGTGTGTATATATATATATATATATATATATATATATATATATATATATATATATATCATATATATCATATATCATATATATATCATATATCATATATATATATATATGAAGAGTTCAGATGCAAAAGCCTCTAAATGCCATTTGAAATTTTCTTCTTTAATGATGATTTTTATCAAGCTTGTATATTTAAGTTCAGTAATTTCACTTAAATGGCAATGATAATTACCTATTAATTGTTATTTAAGTGAAATTACTGAACTTAAATATACAAGTTTGATAAAAATCATCATTAAAGAAGAAAATTTCAAATGGCATTTAGAGGCTTTTGCATCTGAACTCTTCATATATATATATATATATATAGAGAGAGAGAGAGAGAGAGAGAGAGAGAGAGAGAGAGAGAGAGAGAGAGAGAGAGAGAGAGAGAGAGAGAGAGAGAGAGAGAGAGAGAGAGAGAGAGAGACAGACAGACAGACAGAGAGAGAGATGGTTTTCAAGACTGCAGTCCTAAAATTTGTTTTCTATTAAAAAAGCTTTTGTGTGTGTGTGATCTGGAGCCAGCATCCTTGTTACTGATGGTTGCTGCTAATAGAAAGTTAAAATGAATAATTCTTGTTTTGGTTTAATTTAAGAACTACTAAACTCTTGGAATTTGTAATGCAGGATGCTGACTGTCCTCTACAGTATTCCCTTCCTTCACTCTGACGTGCAAACAGGCACACAAACAAGTTGCATGACTAAATAAATAACCTTAGTCATTATAATTGTGAGGCACACGCATGTTAAACATGGGCGGTCTTGCAATTGCATAGGAATTACATAAGGCAGCAGAGAGTGTGAGTAAGTCAGAAGCCGGATCCTGCTTTCTTAAACAGGAAACTCTGTCATTGTACCTCGAAGGGAGAGGGATTTCCTTGAGAACCACCTATGAGGTCATACTGGTCCGTGCCGAACAAAGCACTCGAGAGGAACACTGTGTCCCCTCTGCAAACTATGGAATAGGACAGCCACTCGTCTTCCAAACAGAATAACTTGTAGTATGCAACTGTACCTTTACACAGATGATGAAAACACATGGAAGATAGATTCTTTGTTTTATGACATGAAATAGGAAAAAGTTCCAAGCATTGCATTCTTTCATTTTTCCTGGCAGAAGTTAAGCATGTGGGAGAAGTCTGTCTTGTTCACCTGTTCACAGGGCAACAAGGGCACATATTTTCAGTGCTCTGCACATTCTGGTGCTTTCCAGTGGGTGGCCACAGTGCCAGGCCTGAACGGAGACTTGCTTTATCAGTGCTTTTTTTTTTTGCTTCTTGCCCTCAGGGTCCGCTAATGGCATTATCAGAAGGGCTCCTTGTGAGAAGCTCCGGCCAGCCGACAGACTCATCGCTCCTGCTGTGTCTGGATATCTTGGGCTCAGCATGTTACCTACATTTACACACAAAGGCCTGATAATCAAGCACTCTACTCTGATACTCCCCACTGAGACCGTTGGCTCACCCTGATTCTTGGCTCCTGTTTCAGACACTTGAATGTCTGGTGCTCCTGCGATACAGATGTGATTGAGAAGGTTTCCCGAGACCCGAGAAGAAGTAGGTGCAATTCCAGATGGAAGTTTATATACATTTTTTTTTTCCATTCATTCCCTGGTCATTTCAGCAATTGCATTTCCCCTGTTTAGGCTACCAAACATGCATAACTCAGAGAGCATTTGCTTCAAGTAAAAACTTAAAACAATATATATTTTTTAGCTTTTAGTTTTTATTATAATAAGGTAAAAACACACTCTTTAAAGGAGTAGTTCACTTTAAAAAAAACTTTTGCTGATAGTTTACTCACCCCCATGTCATCCAATATATCCATATCCATATTCTCCATATAATGGACTTCAATGGGAACCAAACGGTTCAAGGTCCAAATGAGAGTTTCAGTGCAGCTTCAAAGGGCTTTAAATGACACCAGATGATGAATAAGGGTTTTATCAAGTGAAACTATCACTCATTTAAAACAAAAAAAAATAAAGTTTAAGTTTTATAAGCACAAATGCTTGCCTTGCTCTGTTCTGTGATGCGCGTTCGTGACTCTCCTGTTCGAACTCGTTCATCAAAATGAACTAATCTTTTTTCATGTCATTAGGTTCATTCAACGAACAAAATGACTTGTTTTGAAGAATTGAGTCTGGAAAAGATTTGTTCATTTTGATGAACGAGTTCGAATAGAAGAGTCACGCATCACAGAACAGATCAAGGCGACCATTTAAGCTTATAAAAATTAAACTTTGTTATTTTTTTTTTTAAATGAGCGATCGTTTTGCTTGATAAGACCCTTATTCATTGTCTGGAATCGTTTAAATCCTATGAACAGTTTTGAATTTGCACTGAAACTGTCTTTTGGACCTTGAACCGTTTGGTTCCCACTGAAGTCCATTATACGGAGAAAAATCCTGGAATGTTTTCATCACAAACCTTAATTTCTTTTTGACTGAAGAAAGAATGACATGGACATCTTGGATGACATGGGGGTGAGTAAATTATTAGCAAAAGTTTTTTTTTTAAAGTGAACTACTCCTTTTAAACTAATTGAAATTTAGTTTGAATTAAATTTAAATTAAATAATAATAATTAAAAATCTGGTGAAACTGCAATGCTATAGTATAGTTAAACTACATGCATAATCTTGTTTGTTTGTTATGTTTTCTTTTGCCTTTATTCATCACTCATGCATTGTCATGGACTTCAATGGGCCATTCAGTTCTTTACTGTTGAGATTACTCTTACTCAATTGACTGAAATTTCAACAGTTAAGTGTTCAAATCATCAGTTAAGTGTTAAAATCACAAGTTTTAACCCACAAGATCCAAATGAACTATCAGGCACTTACAGAGATGTTGCCAAATCAATCAATTTGAATGAAAACTTCACTCTCTCTGGCAAAATCGCATTAGCTGAATACACAAACTTTAAACAGCTCAGCCTTCTCTTTCAATTCATTTTATTGTTGTTATTTGTGGTTGAGAGTGATGGAAAGAAACTCCCTTAATTAAATGCTGCTTTGGTGGTGTGGGAAAAAGGCATTCAATTTCAATAATTAAACTTGCTGTGTTGTCGCACAGAGAGACTCATTGGATGGCCACTGAAAAATTATTAAACTTGTGACAAACCAACAAACTTTTAGATGACCATTAAGTAAATGCATTATTCCAGATGTGCAGGCCTTATTTGACGTGGATGTTTTTCCGACTTATGATGCATTTGATACGCCCTACCAATTCAAGAGAACAAGACTGTGATCTCATGAATAATCAATGCTTATCATAGGTGAAGTGTTTCCTTAGGTTTCCTGCTTGAGAGAGTTAAGTTTAGACGTTATATGCGTATATTATTGTCCTCGGCTTAGTGGAAAGGCTGGACCTATGAGGTCATGAGACTTCCTGTGTCCTATGAGGGGGTGGGTTTGACCCTGCCCAACTGTCTAAAGCCTAAGATACCAGAAATAACAACAGACCTGATCTATTATGTTCTTGCAAGTAAGAATAACTTGTTCTTTTAAAGCAATAAATATGTGGATGAAACATTTGAATGTCTAGATTGAATTTGAAAAGTGGAACGGAAGAGGTCAAAATAGGTTTGAGTTATCTTTCTTTATTTAAAAATTTATTTCAGTGGTGTCGCTGAAGAACAACGATTGGCATTGGCATGTTATTATTTAAAAGAAAATCTTGATTAGTTTCTCTTCCGTTGCTTGTTGACTTTCGCTCTTTTGGGACTCATTTTGAGACCACGTTGTCTGTCTCCAAAGCGACTCAACCATGTTGTATTCAGTAAACAGCCCTTGGCCAGAATACTGGTTAAACACAGTGGGCCTATCAACTTTGAATGATGGGTCCTTTGTTATTCGAATTTGCCCACTATCGTGACACTCAACGGTCGTCTGGTGATGGGGGGGGGGTTTGTTTGACAGACAGTAATGCACAAAAACAAACCCTGTATGGAAATATATTTGTTTAGTCCTGTCATTTTAGTGTTTGCTGCTTTCTAGAGTATAGCTCAAATTGCTTTGCTTTAATAAAGAAACGTTCTTGAGAAGTTTGCAATCGAGAGAACGACGGCTTGTATTGACAGGTCGCAAGCTGTAAAATTTAGATTACAGTTGAATGCATCCGAATGTGCAGTTTTCGTTGCCAAATCGGAATTTCTATTTATGCAAAACAGAGGGAGACTAAAGACAGCGTTTTGTGGCAATGGATGCTGTTGTGGTCACCAGGGACTTCTGGTACAAATAAACACAGGAAGAAACGGCCATTTGGGAACATTTTGATTATACTCAAAGCCAAGATGTATACTATAGACTTTATAGTACAACAAATCTCATCATTTCCTGCATGAACTTATTGACCAATTCTTCCCACTTGAGATTTGAAGTGAAACAACATAAACCTCCTGTTGTTGGTTAGACTTCCATTGCTTTTCATTCAAATTTTAAATATACAGTAAGATACAGTCTTGGACTCAACAGTGATGGGACAAAAAATCCTGTCATTATTTATTTGCTCATACCCTTGTTGGTATTCTGTTACTCCCTGAAATGGTCTATGTATGCGTTACACTCTAAAAAATGCTGGGTTGTTTTAACCCAATTTTGGGTCAAATGTGGACAAACTCAAACATTGGGTAAAATGTAATTTAAAAATGTAACCCAATGTTGGGTCGATATTTGACCCAAATTTGGGTTAAAACAACCCAGCATTTTTTTAGAGTGTACAAAAACAGCACAGATTCCAATAGCACACACCATTGGTTCTCGCATTTCTCAAGACCAAACGTAATTTTGGACTTTCCCCTTTAATTATATGGAAAATAGTGTAAGTAAATGACTACATGATTGTATTTTTGGGTGAACTATTCCTTCAACACCTTCCCCCATTCTTTCTCTTTCTCCTCTTTTCTGCCTTGTTCTCTATCTAACACATTCTCTGATAAGCCCTGGAAGTCATTCACTAGAGATAATGCGTCATTCCTTTCCCATAAATATACAATATACAAACCGCCCTCTCCATTGACTAAATGGTTTTCCATTCTCCAGTGTTTCTCCACCACATTGTCATTTTGGATTTACATGCTTGTTGACTTGAACTACGACAGTAATGCAGTGGTCTATGACGCTGTGCAGTCCAGCAACCCCACAGCTCCACACATCTGGGGGCTGATATGAAAGGCTGTTTTTTGTATTTAGTCATTAGTCTGGGATTCAGTCTTATGAACGAAAGATAGAGGGAAATTTCGCTTTCCCACATTCAAAGCGGGGGATTACAGAAGTGGGATGGTTGTGACTCATGAGAAAGCTCTTTGAGAAGCCTATAAACCCCTCTGAAAAATCATGCTTGCCCTTGAAGTTGCAGTTTATGAAATTATGGTGTTTCTCTAGCTGTATTAAGTTTACATTTGTTCCAGTTTGATGCTGTCACTGTACTGTATTTGTGCCATATAAATAGCATACTGTTTTATAAGAATATTTCAGTATTTATTTTATGTCTGGGTTATGGTTTGAGTAGGCCTTTGTTGCCCACACAAACTTTTTCTTACAGTCATTTAGACATTGTATGTTAAAATAATAAAAATGTTGTTGTGATTGAATATGCATCTTTACTTATATGTTGTCATATGAAAAACCATGCGTCCTTTAACCTTTAATCCGTGGAAAAATGTCAACCCGCAGCTGTGGCACACATTAAAGTTAGCACAATTATAGGAGCCCAACTTGGTAACACTGGTTTAATGCCTGGTTCAGATTACACGATTTTAGCACGATTTTGGCACGATCCGTTTGACGTAGGGTGTCGTGGGGATTCGTAAATGACAACGGTAGTGGGCGACAACTTACGTCGCGTCTGTGATGTTTCACGACATCACGACAAAAAGACTAGCATGTTTAATTTTTTTAACGGTCGTCCACGACGGTTCCGTCACATGTATGAGGTTGACCAATTGGAGCACAGAAGCTTTTCCGTATACAACTTTCAAAAATGGCGAAATGAAAGAAAGACGATGGTGCTAACGTTAAAACTAAGAGTAAAAATATATAAGAAAACAATAGTTCTCTTTCCAGGATTGACAGCCCATACTGTCCTCTTCAAGCAATCCAGGAACGTGTCCATTGTCTGGTTTTCTTCTTTCTTTTTTTACTTTTTTCTGAACACAGCAGCCAATACAACACTCACGCTTCATCCATTTTTTGTTTACGTTCGTTTCCGGAAGTCACTCTCTACTAGTTTCGCCTTCTCGATGACATCACGCACGCCATTAAAAACGCCATGCGATGACTGGTCAGGAAGCAACGTGTAGTCTGACATGTGTCTTGTCCACGACACGACAAGATTTTAGGAGTCAAAATCGCGTAATCTGACACAGTGACTATCGTAACAGACAAAAAACATTGTGTAATCTGAACCAGTCATAAGGTTAATTTTGAAATGACTCGCGTTTCAATCAGGGAGTCAGTTTTGAACAGTAATGGCTTTGAACGATTCACTAAGTGAGTCTGATTCAAAACGTTAAACCGAGAGCGAGTAAGCATGCAAATGCGTAAGACCGGT